TCCACTCACCTCAGCCTCCCAAAGTGCTGGGATTACAGGCTGAGCCACCGAGTCCAGCCTCAACTTCCCTCTCTTATCAATGCTCCCAGAGCTCGATATGTGCCTATCTCAAGCAAAGCTAGACATTTCCCCCAGGACTGTGTCCCCTCTGGGCTGCAGGCTTATTCACTTACACATTACTGAGCCCTGTGGGGCTCTGTATGTTCAACTGTAGGTTACTAGCATGGGTCAGGGTGTCAGCTGAAAGCTATTATTTCCCAAAATTGCCTGAGAAGACTCACCTGGAGCTGGTGTTAAATAGCGTAGATAGGCCAAACCGGCCTCTCCCCTGGGAATTCTGATTTCCTCTATCTTGGAATTGGCCATCTTGGGACTAGAAGATTCTGATGAAACAGGGCTGGGAATCACTGATGTAGCAGGTTCCACCAGCATTAAAATGAATGAATGGAAGAGAACAAACAATCTCACAGGCTTATGGGGTGAACCCTCTGTCTCAGTGGTTACATCTGAGTTGCTAGATCAAAGCAGGTATGAAAATGAGCAAGAGTGAGTGGATTACCTGAGCCCGCGGGTTCGAGACCCGCCTGGGCAGCGAGACCTGTCTCTACAATAAATCAAAATGAGCCGGGCGTGGCAGCGCGCGCCTGTAATTCCGGGGACTCGGAAGGCTGAGGCGGAAGGATCGCCGGAGCCCAGCAGGTCGAGGCTGCGGTGGCCAGGAGCGGCCACTGCACTCCAGTCGGGGCGACAGAGTGAGACTCCAATTCAAAAAAAAAAAAAGAAAAAGAAAGAAAATGAGCAAGAAAGAGAAGAGGTCCTGGAGTTCACCGCCCAGCTATGGGGACAGAATGCATAGTTCAAGGACATGGGTGGGGTCCAGGAGGGCAGGGCTGACAGCACTGGGGGGCTTTGCAGCATGAGATGGTGAGGTCAGCTCAGGGGCAGCTGTGACGAGAAGCCTCTGAACTGAGCCATGGAGGATGAGCAGGTTATTATCATGCAGTACGCAGGGCCCTCTAAGCATAGAGGACAAAATGTAAACGAGTTTGGGGGTGTGTGAAAGACACAGCAGTTCAGGGAAGGGAACACGCAGCGACTGGCTGTGTGCCGAAGCCCGGGGGTGTGAAGGGGAGTGGCAGAGATAGGCTTTGACGATCGCAGAGGTCTGGGAAATGTGAGCAAGAGAGACAGGAAGGCCACCCTCCCCTTGTTAGGGGATGACCTCAAGAGACCTTATCTGGACAGAGCCACACAGTAACTGAGACTCCACTGGCAGCTTGCCTAAAGCTGCTTTTGTGGCCCTACGGGCCCATGGAATCTGAGGCACCAGACTACTTTATTTTCTAGGGACAGGGTCTTGCTCTGTCACCCAGGCTGGAGTACAGTAGCGCGATCATAGCTCACTGCAGTCTCAAGCTTCTGGGCTCAAGTGATCCTCCTGCCTCAGCCTCCCAAGTGGCTAGGACTACAGACATGTGCACAGGTCCAGCTAATTTTTTTTTTTTTTTTTTTTTTTTAGTTGGAGTCTCACTCTGTCACCCAGACTGGAATGCAGTGGAATGCTCCCGGCCACTGCAGCCTTCACCTGCTGGTTTCCAGGGACCCTTCCGCCTCAGTCTTCCACGTAGTCAGAACTACAGGCATGCACTACCACGCCCAGCTAATTTTTTTTAATTTATTTATTGTAAAGACGATCCCTCACCAAGTTGCCCGGGTGGGTCTCGAACTCACAGGCTCAGACAATCCACTCGCCTTGACGTCCCAAAGTGCTGGGATTACAGGCTGAGCCACCGAGCCCGGCTTCTTTTGTTTTTTTTTTTTTTTTTTTTTTTTGAGACAGGTTCTCAATCTGTTGCCCAGGCTGGAGTGCAGTGGCCCAATCATGGCTCACTGTAGCCTTGACGTCCTGGGTTCAAGCGATCCTTCCACCTCAGTCTCTGGAGACCCTCCTTTTAACCACTCTGCTCTCCACCATCATTTCATTTCACCTAACGTCTCCTAAGCATCCTTTTTGCCAAGCACTGAGTTGGAGAGCCAGGAGTCAGACAGCTCTGTCTTTGTGAGTGGGCAGTGGGAAAATCACACCTTCATGAGTGACTACAACATAACACAAGAAGTCAGAAGTGCCCCAAACTTTGTGTCATGGGAAGGCAGAAGCAAGAGCAGTCCGTTTTGCTTGGGGTGATCAGGGAAGGCTTCTAGGAAGAGGAGGAAGCAAAAGGACCTTGAAGGGCTAATATGTTTGGTGAAGATTCCGTGGTGAAAAGGGGAAACAGACTTAAGGAACACAAGGGTTTGCACAACACTCAAAGACTGCACGTGGCTGAAGCACAAAATGTAGCTGCAGTTGAGGTGGACAGACAGGCAGGAGGCCAGGATAGGACAGCCCTGTGTGCCAAGTTAGAGTTTGGACTTATTGGGAAGGGTCAGAGGGTTTCTGGCAGCCGATATGGAGTCTGGAGGTATGGAGATCATTTAAGGAACTGAATCATGAATGGAGGGAGAGGGGGGAAGAACACAGAAACTTTGTGATGGATCCCAAATCCAAAAATAGATGGCTGATCTTGAACATTCATATGCCCGAGAAAAGCCAATTAAGGGCCTGGGGGCTTCTGACAAGGAACTGAGAGCTGGAAGGGTGGAGGGAGGCTACAGCATGAAAGAAACAGACTGGCTAAGCTCCAACCCTGAGTGTTCCCATCAGCCTGGGATTTTCTCCCTCTTCCAAGTCTGCTGGGCCCCAATTGTGTGTTTAATTTCAATCTTTTCCTTCTGTTCTTATTTTACCACAAGAGAATAACCTCTCCATTCTAATCTGAAATTAATTATTTATGCTTATGAACACACTGGATGCCTGCCTGGTTTATTTATTTTTCAAATAATACACCTGAATAGGAATTCACACAAGACAGGGCAAACATAATTTGGAGGTAAATGCCATTCCCAACTGTTGCCCTAGTGATTGTTCGAAACCATTCTGCAGCCCTGTCATGGTCCTGTGGAGTCCAAGATCTACCCGCTGCACGCTAATTAGATGCCAGGTGCCTTCTTCTGACAGTCAAGATTTGCACTATCAGGCCCTGCCACCTGACCTTCACAGTCTTATCTCCTGCTGCTATGACTTTCTCCACTGGTCCAAATTCCACCCACTCATCCTCCAAGTCCCAGTTCAAATATCTCCTACTCTATGAAGCCATCCCTGGTTCTCTCTCAAGGGGGAAGTTCCCTCACACTTCTGAATTCCCAGTTTTTTGTGTTTGTTAAATCCTTCAATAGAGTCTACGTTCCCCCAAGGGGACTTAGATGCAACCTGTCACACAGTAGGTACCTCAGCAGAGTGTTCGCTGAAATGGGACGGCGTGATCTCCAGCATCCGGAGAAGCAGTTAAACTAAGCCGCAGCTGAAGCCGTGCTGGGCAAACCAGACGCATTACTTGGGGGGTTTTCTTTTTTAAAAAATTAGAGATAGGGTCTTGCTATGTTGCCCAGGCTAGTCTAGAACTCCGGGCCTCAAGCGATCCTCCCGCCTCAGCCTTCCAAAAGTGCTGGGATGACAGGCCTGAGCCACCTCCAGTAAAGTCACCTACCTAGGGCCGATACCCCTACTTTCCAGTTCACAAGTTAGTCACAATCATTATCTCCAGTGATGTCTACAACCCCAGAGGGATGCATACGAGGCAGAGATTATTTTTCTTTTTTCTTTCTTTTTTTTTTTTTTTTGAGTTGGAGTCTCAACACTGTCACCCAGACTGGAGTGGAGTGACTGCTCCCGGCCACCGCAGCCTCAACCTGCTGGGCTCCGGCGATCCTTCCGCCTCAGGCTTCCAAGTAGCTGGAACTACAAGGCTCGTGCTACCACGCCCGGCTAATTTTTGATTTATTGCAGAGATGAGGTCTCGCCAAGTTGTCCAGGTGGGTCTCGAATTCGCGGGCTCAGGCAATCCACTCACTTCAGCCTCCCAAAGCGCTGGGATTACAGGCTGAGCCACCGAGCCCGGCTGGGATTACTTTTCAGACAGGGATTTTGACTCAGGGACCAGTGACTTGTCCAAGGTCACACTCAGGAAGTGTCACGGTCATGACTTTGATTCAGTGCTCCTTCCAAGAGCCCGCAGATTGTCTTCAGTTTCAAAGGAAGAGGAGTTTAAGGTGATAGGTACGTCCTAAGGCACGCACAAAGTGTCTTTCTGGGAACTGCGGCGTGGGTGACTGACAAAAGGCCACTCCGAAGGTTTAAGGACACCTAGCCCACGCTACACAGAGGAGCCAGGGACTGCACTGCCAAGTCCTCCGCGCACGCGCTTGGCCCCCGAAACCGACAACGCCCAGACTCCTTCCGCAGGCAGCGCGCTAGAGAACGCGCCGGCTGTTTCTGGCACGGTGAGGCCACCGTACGGCAGCCAGGGGCAGGTTTCCCGGCTAGCAGGACCCCAACGCCTGACATCAGGTGTGATGGCGTGACCCGGCACCTGCCCCGCCGCGGCTGTCGGCGGCCAGCAGCAGCAGGCCGGCGTCGACCCGCCGTCCCCGGGCCTAGGGGGAGAA